AAATTATTTGTACAAGATATCTCATAATCCCATGGCAAAGCAATGCATCTGTATTTTATAGCTCTTACCCCAGGATTTCATTCTATGTAAGAATGGAGAATTGAGAAGGAGTGAGAATGTGAAAAATACTTGCTGTCCCTTCAGATTTTTCCCATGAGAATGCTTCCATATTAGCTTAAATTCCCCTGATTTAGGGCTCTCTACTTAACTTGTCAATATGTGATTCTGATTCAAAACAAAACAGATTATTTTGCAATTATGGGGTAGATGCTGTCATGCTGAATAAAAAAGAAGCAAAAATCTCCTTAGGAGTTTGTCATTTAGTGATCTGCCCAGGTTACGACACTAACTGTGAATGTTATCTATCATGATTGTAAGTCAGATTGTCCCAAAGGCCCAATAATGGCTGTAAAGATTTGAATCAACAGCCTTAATTTTCAGTGTTATGAATATGGTCACTATCAAAAGACATATATGAACACATAGCTCTGGGGTATGTCTGTGTGTATGTGTTTGTAGAAAGAAATCTGTATTTTATTTTTAAAAACCCATTCTTAATCATATAGTTCTGAAAATTTTATTTATGAATAACAGTTTGTATAATATTTTTTATTTTGAAGTCCTTCCTAAAGGAATAAATAGAAAATAAAGCATTATATTTTAATATTTGATTTACATTTATAATTTGTTCATTAAATCAATGTGAATATTTGCTCTGGATTCTTGTAAATTTTGCCTTCGCTTTTTTCTCTTCTGTGATTGTGTTTAAAAATAATTTATTTTTATTGACTTATCTTGATTATTTGAGAGAGAGAGAGAGAGTAAGCTACTGAGGCATTTAGACAGACCAGTACCCCTCAGCTACTGGTTTACTTTCCAGATGTCCACAGCTGCTGTGGGTGAGCCAAGCAAAAACCAGAAGCTGGAATCCCAATCCACATTGCCCAAGTACATGAAGGGGATCCAATTACTCACGCTGTGACCTAGTGTCTCCCAGAGTGAGTGACAGCAAAATCGGGAATCAGTATGGGAGCCAAGACTCAAACCTAGACATTTTTACAAGGGATACAGTCTCCCTGAGTGGTATCTTAAATGCTAACCCAAACAAAATCCCCACCCTTGATGAGACATTTTATGGTGATTTCTCTTAAATACTTAAATTGAAACTAGTATGTAGTATTTAATTTACATATTTTAATTCGATGATTTTTTGTGTATGTTTATTGTAGTACAAGCTATCTTCTAATGCAAAAAAAAAATAGTTCTTGTCTTAGAATTTGGTGAGAAAGTGAAATGCATCAAGTTACTTACAGGTCATGTTGAGAAGGGATTAAAATATTTGATAATGGTTGACAAAGGCAATCAGGAAATGTTGAGAAAATAACATCTTAACTAAAAACAAAAGAACGGAAGCAGGAAAAGATGTTAATGGATGAATAAGACATCATGTGGTCAAATAGAAAGAATTATAAACCCAGGGAGACAATATATATATATATATATTTATATTCATATAAATATTTACATATATTCAATATATATCAAATATGTGTATTAAAGAAATATACATATTAATATGTATTAAATATATATATTAAAGAAACTCCATAAAAGCAATATGTTTTGAACAGAAAAGTGGCAGGCAGGGCAGATCTTACAGAGTTATTTGGAGTTTTAACACCACAAAATTAATCCAAAATCAGTTAGGAATTATTGACAAGGTTTAATTATAGGCTGTTTAATTATGGGCTAATTAATTATAGTGCTAATGAGAGAGATCCAAACAACTTAATAGGAGAACCACTAAGATTTCTAACGCTAGTGATTGGATGGGCTTGGTGAAACAGATTGAAAGAAGAAGCAATAAAAGTTTGATGGAAATGTGTCAGAAGTGCAAGAGGGTGTGTTTTTGTCAGGAACCAGAAGTGAGCTAAGATTGAAAAGTTACATATGAGGTTTTCCTAAGCAAAATCCCTCCTGTTGTTAGACCACCTTTTTAATATCCTACCCTTAGCTGTTTAGTCACAAAGGAATAGTTTGTGCCTTTACTGATTGCGGCTTCTCTGAAGCACTTGTTTTGGCCAAAGGGACACTGTGTTTGTTGAAGTGATGGGATAGAACTGGTAAAGAACATTATTTTTTCAGGAATCTTAGGGGGAAAACGTACCGCAATATAGTAGCTAATCCTATTAGCTGGAAAAAGTTATTTCTGAAAATAAACAGGTCTTAATCTGTTTGCAAGATCCATAATAAATGAAGTAAGGGTTTGAAAATAACCAGAGTGACTCCACACTGAGATCTTGAACCAAGCTGAGGTAATTGGGAAAACATAAGCCACAACAAAAGAGAGACAACCTCCACTAATCTGTTATAAAAGGTTCCCAAAAGAGTGAGTGTTTATACTAATGGTCAAGATGCCTGAGTTCTTCACTGGAATATCTGTGTTCAGGGATTCAGTTCCCAGCTCTGGCTCCTTACAGCAGCAGCATGACATTGCAGATCCAGGAGGGCAAAGATCGTGGCTGAATTTAGTTCTAGGTCTTGGCATCAGCCCAGTTCAGCGCACCTGTTCGCTGACATCTGGAGGGAACCAGCCTATGCCAGCGCTTTCTCTCCGTGTCTCCCTTTGTATCTGTCTCTGTATTCCTGTCATCCAAACAAATAAATGAATATAGTTAAAACATACATAAAGGAACTCATGAAAGTAAGACACGCAGAGAGCTTGTCCTCATCGGAAGAACTTCTCTTTCCTCTGTGTATTAGCAAAATAGATAGCTTGCCTTAAAGAAAGTGGTTAGCTCAGCAGAAAGAGAAGAAAAATGAGATTGTGAAAGGATGGAGGAAGAATAGGTGTCTGAGACTAAAGCTGGTTGGAAGAACTGTCTGTGGAGCAGTTAAAATGAATTGATCAGACAACAAATGCTGCTTAGCAATCTTTTGATTCCACTTTAGGCTGATACCAAATAGGCAGCTGAACCACAGTGACTGTTTAGTCTGACTCAGGATCTAGGCTTGTAGGAAGCAGGAAATAGCATTTACTGAGGTGATTTTTCCTGAGTGATTTTTGTTCAAAATGACAAGGACATTTGCTAGGAGATGTTATGGATAGACTATAGATTTTTTAAATTACAACAGGAAGAAAATAGAACTACTAAAGATTGGTGGAGAGGAAGAAAGTGGGAAGGTCAAATTGACAAAGCTTTGAAAAGGTATAATAATACGTCGGTGAAATGGATAAATATGCAAATGTCTACATGCAAATAATATTGAGTGATAGGTTGTATTACAGTGCAGTTGGTTATGCACCAGAATAAAAAAAAAAATCAACAGGACTCAACAAATTGCCTTTAATTCACTGATTGCAATTTAGTAATTATAAAGGTATTAAGCCAGGGATTTTTCAGTTTATACTAAATTATATATAGAAAATCCCAACCTGTGTCAGATACTGTGGTAGAATCTAGTGAGAACATATGGAATGAGGTGTATTCAACAAGCTCATATAGAGCAATGAGGAATTCCCTTAGAGTCACACATTTGCAAATAAAAGAAATAGTTGAATTGTGTTCTGATTAATAACACCCAAGGTAAAAAGAAGAACATAAATAAATCTTGCAAAGCCTTTGATAATGTCCTTATATTTCATCATAACATTCAATCTTTGGCTATTATAATTTCAGTATACTTTTAACTAAGCAAATCAGTCTGATAGGTCAGCAAGTATCAAGCAGAGGGTCAGTGATTTTAAATCACATGTATTCATTATTCATAAAGATATTTCTGAAGGTGTTGTACTGTTGTTTCAGATAAGCCATAACAAATCACAGTAGAAGCCTGTGAGGAGCAATATTAGATCTGAGTATCCGGTAAAATATAGGAACATGTTATTTGTGTAGGAAAGCTTACAATGTAACAATGAATGTTCTTTCATAGACAACACAATTTAAATCTTATTAGGTAACAGTGTTTTGCCAAAAATGAGAAAATCTTATTATTTTCAGTAGCAAGATTTGGTATATGTAATATGTGAAAATAATGGACATTTAGGTGGATATTTGTAATATGAAATTACAGATTTTATTAATGAACAGTATATATCCACTAGAGTGATTTTTGCTTTTTTTCATTTTTGGATACAAAATATACAGTCATATACCTCGGGAATTTTTTCATTTAGTTTTATTAATTTTCCTTAGGTTTTGAGAACCATGTGTTCTATAGCTTCCTCTAAAGATTGTTGTTTCAGAAATATCTTAATTTAAATTCTTCAAAAATGGCCATAAGCATTTTCTTGCTTTCCTCCTTAAAATGTTATATGCAGTAAGGTCAACTATATTTTTCTTCCTAGCCTTTTCAAGGATACTCTTCAATACTTTTATTTCATTTTTACTTAACATAATCGTAAGTGTCACAAAGGCAAGTCAAAAGATACTCAGGAAGGTTTTTGTTTGTTTTTAAGATTTACTTATTTTTATTGAGAATACAGATCAGATTTATGGAGAGAAGCAGAGATAGAGAGAAAGATTTTCCAGTCACTGGTTGACCCACCAAATGTACACAATGGCTAGAAGTTGAACCCAACTGAGTCCAGGAGTCAGGAACTTTCTCCAGGTCTCCATCTGGCTGCAGGGTCCTGAGGCTTTGGGGCATACTCTACTGCTTTCCCAGGCAATAATCAAGGAGCTAGATGGGAAGTGAAGCTGTTGGGACACAGAACCAGAACCCACATGGAATCCCAATGCTGGCAAGGCGAGGACTCAGCCATTGATCCATTGCACAGGACTCGATACTCAATAAGCTTTATAATCAAATTGCCATCCAAGAGTATTTTGAGTTCTTACTTAGTTATGGGTATTTTTATTTGGGATTAAAATTCAAAGTATTTAAAATTTACTAGGTAAGAGATTAAGTAATCAAATAAAATTGAAGAAAACACTGAATGTTGGGGTCAAGCGGAAACACTAGATCTTTCATATTTTGCATTCAAAATGTAAAGTGGTGTATTCGCTTTAATAACACATGTACTGAAGTTGGAGTGATACAGAGAGTAGCATGGTCCTTGAACCAAGATGATATGCAAAGTTGTGAAGTGTTCCGTATTAAAAAAAAAAAATGGTGAAATGGTGCAAGCCTGTTGGAGAATGCATTTCACCAAGCCTTACGAAACTGTCTGCATTCACACTCTTTAATTGCATTTTTAGTCATTTCTATAAAAATAGAAAAATTGCTTACATGCAAACCTATATAAAATACTTAAGCACAGCTTGATTAGTCTATAAATTCCTGTACAAGTGAATGTTTCCATAAGTAGATTTCACAAAAGAGTATTACATGGCAACAATAAAAATACAAGTGTTGCTACAATAAACCACTGACAAATCTACAGGGAAATTTGTTGAATGTAAAAAAAAAATCATATCCCAGAAAAATACTATTTAAAAATATTCTTGAAATTGTAAATTAAAAAAAAAGATACATTTGTAATTATTGGGGTCTAGAATGGAGCAGCTTGAGGTGAGAATTACTAGATAGCTTTGTAAGAAGTTGAAACTCTCCAGTACTTTCATTGTTGTTTAGGAGACATGAACTTACAAGAAAAAAATGATTTTTGTGGAAGAAATATGTAATACACATAAACACACACTTGAGTACTTGTAGTAAAATCGGGGGATTCTGAATGGTAACATGTTTTGCAAATGACAATTTAACAAAAAGAGCTAACAAAAAAATCAAATAAAGCAAAATTTCTTCATGCATGCGTTGAGTATGCATATCAAGTCATTTACAAATAATATGAGGAATGTAGAACTTTAACCTCTCATTTCTTAATATATATCACTTCTTTCTTTCAGAATTGTGCTCACAATAGATTTTTGTTTTTTTAAGATTATTGTTTTTAATTGGCTGCCATGGCCGGAGCTGTGCTGATCCAAAGCCAGGAGCCAGCAGCTTCTTCCAGGTCTCTCACAGGGGTGGAGGGTTTTTTTAGATTATTGCTCTGGACCCAAGTATCCTAATGCCTTAAGTATTCACTAAATTAATGTGCTTATAATTCTTAATCTTTATGGAAAACTGCTCAGAATTCTACCCTTTAAAATAAAATTGTCCCAACTGGAGACCATTATGCTCAGTGAAATAAGCCAATCCTAAAAGGACAAATGTCATATGTTCTTTCTGGCATAAGCCAACATTCATGCAAATTACAAAGCAAATAGATATATAAACATGTATATAGATATATTTCCTTAGACAGACTCTAAAATGGAGACTAGCATACCAGTAAGCAAAGATATAGTGCAATATGCATCTCATCCCAAATAAAAGGAGTACTTCAAATGAAATCATTAAATGCATCTTGATAGTGTGATACTAGATTTTCCACCATCTTCAGCACCTACAATGCCATGATTCACTTAAATGGCTGAATGCTGGACTTCTGACTGTTGCTAAAAGCCTATACTATTGTAAAAGTATGGGAGAAACTGCTGGTCTGGTAAAATTGACAGGGACAAGGGAGATGGAGGGGGAATTCTTATTTCTCAAGAATATATCATGGGAAATAATAATAGAAACAAAAGATTTAAAAAATGGTAATCTGACTTCTCCCATTTCTATAGTCTAGGAAGTGCATGTTTCAGATATCAACTGATGGGGGTCTCAGGAAAGTCTCTCCTGCTGGTTTGAAGCCATCCATCTTCTATGTCTTTGTATGTCTTCAGAGAGAAAGTTCTGATGTCCCCCTCACTTTTTGTAATCCTGTCCAAAACTGTTTTATGGGGGGACTCTCATTCTTATGAGATCATTTATGTTTTTTCACCTTCTCATAGGTTTTATCTCAAGTAGACACACTACGACTCACACCTTCAAAATAGGAGTTTGGTGCAGACACAAGCGTTTAGTACATAACAATTGCACTCTTTAAACTTGTCTCTTAAACAGTTCTTTAGGCTCGGAGTGTAGGCAGAGGGAGATAGAATAGAAGCTAGAAAACTTTTTAAAAATTAACATGTACTTAAGTTAGGCTGGTATTGATGCGTTTATATCTGCTTTATGTAAAAGAGTTCTAAGCACAGATCTAATATCAATGTCTGTATATCTCCAAGGATAATTACTTGTCTCTTAAAAGTCTCTGGCAGTAATATCAATTAAATTTTCTTTAAAATCATAATTTTGAGAGTTTTCAATAGCATTTTCTGTTTAGTTATTAAACCTGGTGATAAATCCTGTTTCACAAAATACTTTTCTTGTCCTTTTGGTCTGTTATGTAGAAGATGTAAATGTAAGGGCTTAAGAGAGCTCTATGTTTTAAGGATCATGCATTTGTGTTGTAATATTATTTGTTGAGGTAAAAATATTGATGTATTACAAGAAGTATGAGTTTATTCAATGTCATGAAAATGAAATTCCTTGAAATATTAATTGAAGGTCAGTCACAGAATAGCCTTCAACTGTAATGGATGAGAAAGAGAAATAATTGTCAGGGGAAAATGAGCTGCTTCAAAAGCAATGTGAACCAAATTTTTTAAAATGGTCTACCAATACCATGCATTATCTTGAATTCCATTTCAGTATGGTAGTGCCACACATGTAACCTCTATCTAGGAACAACTGCATGAGAAATGACTGGAAGTGTAGAGTCAAATGTTATCTTGTATAACTCCCAACATGGCACTCTTCATAGAAAACCTGGTAATGTACCCTCTGGAGGATACTGGCTAAAAGTGAGCTGAATTATAGTAAATTAAGACACACCTCCAAAAAAGGATTAACATCCCAGTGGAAAAACTGAATTTAGGAACTTTTCAATATGGAGTGGAAAATTTCTCTTTTTCTCATTTCTCTTATATGTCCACCATTTATTTTTTCTGGATGTTTCACATGATATCACAGGATTTCTTATGAGCCTCTAGTTCCCTTTGATAATATATTCGTTTGATTATGTTTGTCTGGGAGATGCCAAGATAGTCTCCATTAACATATACCATACTTCATTTTACTTTTAACATACAATTTAAAAATGCAGCAAAAATCTGACAATAATTATATTGGATTCCTGCAAAATTAAGGTAGTCTTTCAAGCTATGGCTTAACTGGATTCTAAGAAGAGCAGTTAATTCCTCTTTAGAACAACTAATAACAGACAAAATCATTCTATCTTACCAGTGTTAAGACCCTTAAAGCCAGTTCCTTAAAAGATTTTTTATTGTTGAAGAAGTACAGATAAAAATACAGTATTTTTTATAAACTCACTTTACTTCTCCAGTTGAAGTTTTATTTACCTTTGACTGTCTAATTGTTTTGCATGATAAGATAAATGATCTATTCAGGCATCATTGCTATTTATTATGAAAGGCACATATATATAGAAAACAAAAAGCATGAATAACTGCTTTGTTGATGGAAAGGTAGAATTGCATTAGCATCTTGGATTCTTTTATGGAAATTGGAAACTTTTTCCATTTATGAATACTTACAAAGACCCTATATTTTAATGTCTGCTCTTCTTCAAAGGTTTCCATTGGTTTTCTGCAGGCTGTGTATCTGAAGTGAAGCAATTATTAGTTCATTGCCTTATGAAATGAAAATATCCATCCAAACTATCTTTTCAGTGGAGTGGACTATTAAAAAGCCTATTTGAAGATGGTAGCAAATTTGAAGGTTACATAAAATCAAGTGACTCTCACTCAAACACTGCCTTTTCAGATTTTAAATGTCCTTTCAGGGGAATAGGCATTTATAGTGGTGTAGAATGCCCATGTTCAATTCCAAGCTCTGGGTCCTCATTTCTACTGGTACAGACCCTTGAAAGCACTGATGGTGTCTCGAGTAGTTGGGTTCCTGCCACTCAGGAGAGATACCAGATTTGAACCACTGATTCCTGGTTTTGTTTCCACACCAGCCCTGTGTATTGTGGGCATGTGTGCAATGAACAAATGCATTAGGCACTGCTTCTCTTTCTCTCCTTCTCACCCTCTCTCTCTCTTTTCCTCTCTCTCTCTCTCTCTCTCTCTCTCTCTCTCTCTCTCTCTCTCTCTCTCTCACACACACACACACACACACACACACACACACACACACACACATTACAAAATGTTTTCAAGAACTTTCCAGGATTGTTCTACCTTGAATATCCCTTAGAACTGTCTCAGTCTCTAACATGATCCATACTTTCTTCCCAACTCATCAAAATCCTGCCTTCTCTATTCTGTCTCTCTCTCCCTCATTCTTTCTCTCTCTCGCTCTCTCTCGCTCTCTCTCGCTCTTCTCTGCCCTAGAACAAAGAACAGTACATGAGTTTAGAATGCCTGCAGGCAGAATGGAGTAGACTCTTGCCAGCATTTTATGAAACTTTAGCTTTTTTTCCCCCTAGCAGCTTAAAAAAATTATTGTTATTATTTCCAAGTGAGGAAATATGGAAACAGATGTTCGAACAATGAATCGGTTGCCACTTTACATTTTTGTATCAACCATTTTAGATGAGATGTATAGAAAGAGAGAAGAATGGATGTGATTATCTGCCTCTTTCCTTAAGCAAGCTGAGTCTGGCCAAAGGATTTTATAAAGAGATATGTGTTCTTCATCAAATAACATTTCTCACCCCAAAAGATCTTGAAACTAAGTAGGAAAATGTTGAATAATGGAATTGCCTGAAGATGAGATCACTCACTTACTTGGGAAACATACAGCGAAGTGTGAAATCTAAGATGGAGATGAATGCTATACTTTCTCTGTGTTAGCATTAACAGCTGCTCTGTGAGAACCTGCTACCATCTCCAGTTTCTACAAACCCACGACTGAGAGTTCATCCCAGGACTTGGTTTCACTGTACTTTCTAGGTTTTCCATATGGTTTTTCTTTAAGATACTAAGGGTATACATCTTGAATGCAAAATCCCTTCAGGAAAAATGGTGGAACAATATTTGCCAGAGAAATAGGTAATTATAATTCTGCAATTGAGTTGCTATGACTGTATACATAATTCCACGATGTTCTGGAATGTTATGTTCTGATTATAAGGGTGAAACACATTGAATGTATGGAAGAAATACGATTTCAGGCTACAATGTCAGGACAACAATTTGCCATACAAAAAATCTTTTATCT